GAGGATAGTAGGAGAGGCTAATGAGAGGATAGTAGGAGAGGCTAAAAGGCTAAGACGAAGGGGCGCCTATCAAATCATGGTAACAATGGTAATAGGAAAAGGAAAAAATGTAAAAATAAAAAATAAAATATTCTGTGAGCTGAGGCCTTATTGGAATTATTTATCATAATAATTTATTAGTATTATTATGATTTAAAATTAAAATTGATTCCAAAAGTAAATGAAAAAAAATCAGAACATCGAGGATTTTGCAGCAGCATTGTTTATTGAAAAAAAAATAATTTTTCATTACAACGTGGGAAAATTTTTGCCTGGTCAATCAAGTGTTTTTTTTTTCAGATTCCGAATTCAACCGATTCGGGGACAAATTCGAGTACAGATGCCGCCTGGGTAACGTCTCACCATTCCACTGATGCAATTGCATGCCGCGACACATCGCTAGAACAAAAAATTTTAGCCAATTAATTGTGCGGTGGAGTATCCAGTGACAAAAGAGATAACTCGGGAGTTGGGGAATTCCTTTAAAACTGAGGTGAGTAAAAAAAAAACAAAATCCAATTAACTTTCTCCTACATTTTCATTACTCATACTGAAAATTTTTTTTAATAATTTTAATGTTTCTTACCCGACCAGGACATGCTCCTTGACGATTTCGACACGTTGGCTGACATGCAGGACCACATGTTCTCCAAACTTCTCCAGAGCGACAACGCCGAGGGGATTGTGGACGCGGTACAGCAGCTAATGGAGTAGTTGAAATATAAGCAATTGAAGCGTCTGTCATTACACGTAAGTGAAAAGTATTTGCTTCAATTATAATTGACCTAGAAAAATTTCTCATTTTTCCAAAATCAACTTCATTTAATTGAAATAAATTCTTTATTGGAGTCTAATCGAGAGGTGGGCAACCTCTGTACAATTGGAACCTCAATAATTTTATGGCTACAGCTCCGAGTCTACCTGAGGTTGCCCACTAATCAAAAAACTCTAATCAGATAAATTGCAACATTTTTTATTGCTTAATTAATTTTTCCAGGTATTGAAGAGAAGCACTCACATGCTGTATATGCGACTGCAAGAACAATGGCGAGGAGGAATAGTACACGCATTTTGAGGTCTTCAAGAGAACGGAATTCAATTGATGAACAAAACCTGAAGGTTCATCTTTTTATACGGAATCTTCAGAACAACAGATATATTTTTTTAATGATTACTCCTCGTCAATTGATTGATTCAGCGGGGTTATGCTTTAATTAGAGCATTTCATGCACGTGTGCTCTGTTAATGTTGTTAATATAAATAAGAAATACTCTTCTTATTTGCACAATTGACGAGGAATAATTAAGAAAAAATGAATAAAATGAATGAATATATTTTATAATTATAAAATTATGTAATAAATTATTGTACAATAAAGTTCAAAGACTAAAAATGGATTGTATTTATTTAATTTATACCAGAAAAAACATTAATAAACAATTTATGCGGTTATTAAAATTTGAGAGGTCCATAATACCTGCCCGGTCCATCTTACCCGAGGTGAAGGTTGAAGGTGAAATTTGAAAATTTTGACATTTTTTAAAAGTATCAGGAGAACATGAAGCGAGGAGGTATTCACTTGAAATTTAAAAACTTTGAAATCATTGAAAAATACCACAGGAACGTGAATGGAGGGGATGTTCACTGAAATTTTAAAATTTTGAAATTCGTGAAAAAGTATCAGGAGAACATGAGATGCAAAGAGGTATTCGCTTAAAATTTTAAAATTTTGAAATTCGTGAAAAAGTATCAGGAGAACATGAGATGCAAAGAGGTATTCGCTTGAAATTTTAAAATTTTGAAATTCGTGA